TTATTGAAGTAAATATAACTGATTAAATTTAATTAATTATTATTCAACTCTGGTCTTAATACATACAGCAACAGTCTTCAGTCAGAAACTTTTGGGTTTCAAGACTGCTACTGGAGATTCCTCCAGATTCAGCATCTTTTAGAAGATACTTGAATGATAACAGTTAAGAGTTTTCACATATTTTAATTTCCATTTTGATTAAATAAAGGAAATTTAAACCGAACAGATAAAAAGTCCCACACATCCAGGTAGATTCCTCGGGTCACCGCTACTGTGAAGCCACCGCGGTTTCAATGGAGACTGTTGCTAAGGAACGTCAGAATGCCGACTCTTGCCCAATCAGCGGTGGTGAGATATGTCACGTGTTTCAAACAGCCCAATCACAGGGAGGCTAGCTGTTGAGCTGTTATTTAGCTTCTATCCAACGGACTTTCCGTGTAAATATCAGAGTAGAGCTGATTTCTCCGGAGAGGATCAGGTTTATCTGCGGGTTTAAACGGCTGGTCTGTATTTTGCTTCATGGTAAGAAACGTTTTATTGTTCGTTTAGGCTGTAAACTCTTATTACTGATAACAAAGCCGTTTATTCTGCCTTTTTGACTATAAATATTCAAATAAATCCAATTAACTGCAGTTACTTAGTCGGACTTTGTTTTTAGCAATTTTCAAAATACATTTTAGCGACATTTTATTTTTCAGTAAAAATAGAAACTTTAAATCCAGTTAAAATTCAGATTTTCTTTTATTCATAACATCTTATTATTTTTAAATTAAATTGAAAATATGCACTTTTAAAATCATTATTGGGATTATTTTATGATTGTGCTCCATGAACTGATTAACCAGGTGAACCTGTCTAAAATCGTGCCTCCTATCAGAGCCGGTCAGAGCATGAAGGGGGCCCCGGGCAAAGCTTCATTTGGGGCTCGCTTCCTGAATCTGGCAGAGGGGGCGAGGCTTAAAACATAGTCAGCAATAATTGTTTTTTTAAAGGTTTTATTGGCTCTAGTGGCCTTTATTTGATAGTTAATTTACAGGAAAGTGGGTAACGAGAAAAGGGGAAGACATGCAGAAAAGGTCGCCAGGCCGGGAATCGAACCTGCAACGGCTGCATCGAGGATTAAGGCCTCCATATGTGGGTTGTGGTGAAACCCTGCGCAACCACAGCACACACACTATAATTGGTTTTTATTTGCTGAGATGTTTGGTAACAAAGCAAAGAAAATATTAGATTTGTTACTATGGTAACACAGGAATCAACCAGTGATTAACTTTTTTTAATGATTTAAAATGTTTAATTGGCTTCTGCGCTTATTACTTCTTTTTTAGAGGCACAGCGATTAGAAAACACACACACAAAAAATAATGCTATTAGAAAACACTCAACACTAAACGCTAATCAGTCACAAAAGAAGTGATTGTGTCACTAAACTGCACGGTTTTATTTTCAAATGTGTTGATATTTATTGATGCTCCCATTGAACAGATAGTGGATGAAATAATAAAAAATAAACAAGTCCAACAATACGAAGGGTTTGGTGTTTTAAACATCATTAAATGGAGTTTACCATGAGAATGACTCGGTAAATATCCACCCCCACCATCCAATCAAATCGGATCTTATCCTCCTTCTCAACCAACCAGTGTGAACTCGTTGTTTCCAGAACAAAGCCATGAGGAACCTGTCCGGTTCGCCCCGGGTGCAGGTCCACGTCAGTAATGCCGAAGCACTCTACCTGCATGTGAAGAGGACGGGTCCCAGCGAGAAGTCTCAGGTCAGAGGTCGCCCCTCCGCTCCCCTTCCTGTCTGTTGAGCCCACCCAGGCGTCTCCTTTAACCCCCCTGGTTCTGTCTCCATGTCCTCCTCAGCGGACGATGAGCGAGGACAGATCGCCGCTCCGTCCGTCCGCCAACGTCAAAACGCGGCTTCCATGGATTCCTCCAGGAAAGACTTCCTACAAATGGGAGGTCAGGAGTCCGCTGGGATCCGATCGGATCTTCTGTCTGTCCTCTTCCTCAGACTCTGTTTCCTCTCAGGGACCGACCCACTGCCTGGAGATCAAGCCGCCAGAACCGGAACCAGAACCTGAGCTGCGGCTGTCTGACCTCACCTCAGAGGATGAGCAGCGTCTGCGCGGCCGCATCAGCCAGTATGAGAAGAAGATCGAGAGCCTGATGAGCGAGGTCAGCTCTCTGAAGACCGAGGTGGGTTCTGATCTGGTTGTGATCCGGTTCTGATCAGGTGGAGCAGGAAAACACATAATACAACCCTTTAAAATCATCCTTTTAAACATCTGATCCAAATAATACCAGAAATGATCCCGCTATCTAGTTTAGAAAGACTTTGACCATGTTCCGGAACCAGGATGTTCTGGAACCAGGATGTTCTGGTACCAGGATGTTCTGGTCGGGTTTCCTGACGCATTCTGCTGCGTCTCGTGCGTCCAGGTGGAACACCGCAGGAAGGAGCAGGTCCTGGGCCGCAAGTCGGAGCAGCAGGACGTCTCCCAGCGAGTGACCACCAAGCAGGAGGAGGAGCTGGGCGAGGAGAGCAAGGAGCTGCAGGAGTGGAAAAACAGCCAGCTGCGGGAGTCCATAGGGAGGATACTGCAGGAGAACAGACAGAGCAGGTACCACTCATATTTATTTACTCGAGCTCTGGGGTCACTTCCTGTGTATTGGTGTTACTTCCTGTGTAGTGGGGTTACTTCCTGTGTAGTGGGGTCACTTCCTGTGTACTGGGGTTACTTCCTGTGTAGTGGGGTCACTTCCTGTGTAGTGGGGTTACTTCCTGTGTAGTGGGGTCACTTCCTGTGTAGTGGGGTTACTTCCTGTGTAGTGGGGTTACTTCCTGTGTAGTGGGGTCACTTCCTGTGTAGTGGGGTCATTTCCTGTGTATTGGTGTCACTTCCTGTATAGTGGGGTCACTTCCTGTGTATTGGTGTCACTTCCTGTGTATTGGTGTCACTTCCTGTATAGTGGGGTCATTTCCTGTGTATTGGTGTCACTTCCTGTATAGTGGGGTCACTTCCTGAGTATTGGTGTCACTTCCTGTGTAGTGGTGTCACTTCCTGTGTAGTGGGGTCATTTCCTGTGTATTGGTGTCACTTCCTGTATAGTGGGGGTCACTTCCTGTGTATTGGTGTCCCTTCCTGTGTATTGGTGTCCCTTCCTGTGTAGTGGGGTCACTTCCTGTATAGTGGGGTCACTTCCTGTGTATTGGTGTCACTTCCTGTATAGTGGGGTCACTTCCTGTGTATTGGTGTCACTTCCTGTGTATTGGTGTCACTTCCTGTGTAGTGGGGTCACTTCCTGTGTAGTGGGGTCACTTCCTGTGTAGTGGTGTCACTTCCTGTGTAGTGGTGTCACGTCCTGTGTATTGGTGTCACTTCCTGTATAGTGGGGTCACTTCCTGTGTATTGGTGTCACTTCCTGTGTAGTGGGGTTACTTCCTGTGTAG